GTTATATGACAATAAAGTAGTGAATCTCAATTTATTTACTTATTTTTATTGTATTTTTAATAGGCTCATAGGTCTTTTTTCCCCCCCAAAAAACACAAAAACATTTTCACAGCAGGCCCTGTTCTAAAGCACTTCCAGCAGCCCTGCCTACAGCTATTAACATCTACAACAGCTTGCTAAAAAAAAAACTCCCATGAGTTTAATTGAAATTCCCTTTGGGATCAATAAACTATTTCTGAATAGAAATTATTATAGCCTGGATATGATCATTTAAATATATAAATACGAATCCAGAGGTCAGAATATTTAGGACAATATATCTCTTTACATGGTGGAATATGAAAGCATTTGAATTGAGGTAAGAATTGGCAAATAGATGAGCTGACCTGGAGTTACTGCAAAGTCAAGGATTTGATGCAAAGACTGGGCTTCTTTATACAATAACCTTTAACCAGTTGGTTACATAAATAAACCAACTTTTATTGTAATACATTAATATTTAGGACTGAATAACAGATTATCTTATTGAAGGAAATCAAAATGATTCCCCCTTATACCCTATTTTAGTGATGCCTTATAAACCTGCAAAAACTACAATCAGATCTTATAATGAATGAAAGAGGATAAAGATTGATATATTCATCAACATCAATAAAATATCAATTTATTACTTAGAATTAAGGAAAAATGGGTTTATATAAAACATTTTTTATTTTAGTTTGTCTCCTGTCAGTTTTTATAGATACACTAAATTACTCATGTGATGTTCATCATCCAGAGAACGCGTATATTGGACTGTTACAAACAGAGCATGCAGCTGTTTTAAACTGAGTTTATGGGGCTGCATTGTTTGTTTTTTCCACCATCTCCAGGTCACAGTCTCTTCAGGGCAGTGGCCTTTCTCAGGCTCCGCCCCATTTGATGACTTTTACTCTCAGAAGTCGTCATCATCACAGATGTCCAGATAAACGTCGAAGGCCTCTCGGTTGCAGTTTCCATCAGGTGTGAACACATACTTGTGGAAGGTCCCGTCTACACAGATGGCTGCAAAAAATGTTCAGAGATTTCCGATTAAAGGCAACATGATACAGCAGCAGCCATTTAAAATTTCCCCACTTTCCATCATGGGTCCTTGGCTGCTCCCCTAAGATTCCTTCATAAAAAACCATCTTTGTACTAAAATATTCTTTCTGTCATGATATGCGGACATTAAGTAAAAAAATATGCACGCCCATGCAGGGGCGGAGCTAGATGGGGGGGGCCAGGGGTGGCCACGGCCACCCTTAGCCAAGTATTGGCCACCTTTGTGGCCACCCTTAGCCAATTATTGGTCACCTTTGCGGCCACCCTTAGCCAACTATTGGCGACCTTTGTGGCAACCCTTAGCCAACTATTGGCCACCTTTGTGGCCACCCTTAGCCAACTATTGGCCACCTTTGTGGCCACCCTTAGCCAACTATTGGCCACCTTTGTGGCCACCCTTAGCCAACTATTGGCCACCTTTGTGGCCACCCTTAGC